AGCATATGGACGAATCAGAACATGCTGCTTTGGTTTCACGATTGTAATAAAAAAATCAATTATACTCACATAAAACAGTTGTAAGAAATCACCGATGATAATCCTATCCGAGTGATAAAAATGCTCGAGTAGTTGAAAAAATTATGTTGAAGGTATTATTATCCCAAATGAATAACAAACTGTTGAAAATGGTTTCAATTTTTAGGTGAGACATGTTATTTGCCTATCGTTCGATTTCAGATAATGGAAAAGTTTATACACATAATTAGCTCTTTTGAATTTTGAATAAACATTAGTTGATAAAGATATCGAGAATATGTTCTGTACTGTGTATTCAGTACACAATACAATTCAAAAGATAAAACTTTCGTCAGACACTTGTTGTCAAATTTTTATTTTTGAAATGAATCTTTCACACTAAAAACAATATCCGATGAAACACATGCAATGCCTTTTTAATTCTCACCTTTAGAGTTCATTGTTGGGCATGTCTATATTGTTCAGAGATAATATTCAAATTTTGCTAGTTTTCCAAGGCTCTGTATTATAAATTCTACGAATACTCCACATTAGTTGAAGGTCAGTTCGATAACCTTCTTTTCTATCGTTTGAATCATACGTGAATATTCTGACACTCTATATTTCATACTTCCTGTTGAGTTTTGAATTGGGAATGTGATACGTTACATTTCTAGTGAAACCGATATTATCGGAGATGAAGCCTACTTATTGATTGAGTGTAAACTGAATTATTTCTATTTTGCATTCAATAACTTCAGTGTCTTATATTATGTTTTACACAAAATGGTCTAACTAAGGACTACACAATTATGTTTACTGGAACGAATCAAGAGAGTATTGATTTGTACACATTTTTCAATTTTTCACTCTGGTAAAGTTCTTAGCTGATTATTTATTCTCCTTCAAAAAGAAATAATTTGATGTTCGCAACCGTAAAACTGTTACATAAACTAACAACAAATATTAGTTTAGAAAACTCTCTGATATAATTTTTTGTCTGATACATATGATATAAAATCCTGAGAAATATCTATCGATCTACAGACTTACAAATGTTTCTATTCAAGAGATTTCCTAAATTTTTTTCTATCAGCTACTAGAATGATAGAAATCTAGAGAAAGGCTTTCTGTTTTATATTTTAAATTGAAATTCACGTGTATATCAGTTCAAGACTGTTGTCCAAGAAAAACCATAGAATATTTTCATCGTCGAGAAGTATACTTTTTTCCCGCCAGTTACCTTGAAAGACCTTCAGGCCATCATAAACCAAGAGGCTGTATGACCGTATTATATGAATATTGTATTCTCAAGCAGGTTCTCATTGTAAATGTTTTGAATTTGTTATTCATAGGAGTATTGTTGAACAATACATAGAGAGTCAAAGTGTATCTTCATCTGAAATTCCAGAAACTTTACACGCTGAAAAAAATATTTCGTGCTTTACATCGGTTAAAACGCTCCAAACAGGTCTCTAGTATTGTTATGTGAGGTTTATGTGTGACTTATTACCATCTCACAACTTTATCAAGACTGTGCATGCATTTCGCATTTATTCTATATTATATTAACTTTATTCGTTTGTATCTTTGATCACAATTTATTACTCTTGTCTTCAAGTGAATAATACCACGTCTTTGAATCCGCAGATCTTATACATTCTTTCAGACGGGTGGATCAAAGAAAAATTTCCAGACAGACGTTACTGTTTAAGAGATGATGAAGCGAAGTGAATATTTTCTATTCACTCTAAGTTCAAAACGATAATATTCTTTATTCCATCTTGAGTATATCTGATTGGTTTTCTATATTATTATTCATGCAAATATGAATTAGTTAACTTAAAAATATGGAGTATGCAGGTACCCCATTCACGAAATGAGTGATCATTGTTTCCCTAAATTATTTGATCTGAGTAAGTGCACTGTTATTTAGTGAAGAGCTGTCAAAAAAGTATTTGCCGAAGTAATCTATTGAAAATCTGGTTTTTCGTTAACCAGCTGCCGCCCTCCTACCAACGAAAGCTCTCAGTCAATACTTGTGTGAGCTGAGGGTTACCAAGATCTTACCTTTTAACGTGCAATTTCTAGCATGTGCGATTAACGTGCGATTACATAACAATTCTTTGAGAATTAGGACTATGTGAATATATAATATAAATTATATCAGTAATATTTTACATGATAAAAATATGTTCTGTCCAATTCAATATTTGTGAGAGAGATATCCATGAGAAATGCACAGAGCAAAATATTTTCTGTATTTATTTATTATATTTGCTAGAAGTCAATTTTTCGTTTTGATGAATGGCAATGATTAAACTAAGTTGAAAAAATTGCCAAAATGAAGTTAAGCATCGAACTTTCAAATCAAAGATCACTGAACTTGTTCTTCGTGAGTAAAAGGCCACCGATAGGTGTGAAATTATTATATTCCGATTTCCTAACTTCTTATTTATTCCCAACTGGATCTCACAGACATGTTCCAATTTACAAATGGACTGCTTTCGTGTTTTATAACAAACAGCTTAGAATTATATTCAGCGGTGTAATTTGGATTTCAATTCGTATACGGTTCTTGTTTGTATCCATATTGTTAGCTGAATTCAGTTGGTAAACATGTAATTTTGTTGCTAATGATCGCATATATTCGCACAAATTGGTGTTTTCTTGTTATACTTTCAATAATACATACACATAACTCGAACAAGCCAAATTATAATGGGGAAACCGTAATTATTTATCTGATGTATGTGCATCTTGAAGGGGGAAAATGAATAGGTGTGACTTTTCGCTACAATGAATCTTTTATTTTCACTCCATGACAAAAAAGGTTATTTCTAATGTGGATGATTTTCAAATTATTGACTATGCATATCTATTGAGAATACTGTTGTGAGAATACTGTTGTGAAGAGCATTTTCAATGGTGTATTTAATGAGAAAGTATTTTAAACTATCGAAATTGTGGAGAAATATTTCAAGAAAACTGTTGACAGTTCAAAAATGTGATTCTTATCATAATTGTGGATTTTTCGTTGCAAATCATTTTACTATTAACAGATTCCGGTAAACATCGTCCATTGGTCGATTTTGTGTATATTGTTGTCCTGAATATGAATTATTGATAAATTATTATTAATATTATTGTAATGGTTTTTTGATATGTGAATTAATAGGTAAATCATTATTTTCAATACCGCTGATAATTGAATTAACTGATGATTTTTTAGTAAGAGGGTTATCTCAACAATTGAATGAAAAAACTTTATACTTCTCGATCATAAATCAATCAACAGTTTTGAATATGAAACAATTTGAATGACAGTTCTTTTTTGGAAACTTAAATAATTATAGACTCAATTTGAAATTAATTATCAGTATTTCTTTAATCACTTACCCTGAAGCCAGTAATAACAACTAATATTGCTTTCAAGAAACTGTGTCACTCTAGAATTTTCAAAAATCATGTGTTGCTTATTATTTGAACTAATGATAATGGCTATATTTCTCCAGGTAGTGGAATGAACAGAGAGTAGTCCAATTTCGAGTATTCAATAAAGTGAGGAGAGAGTAGGCTACATAATAATCGATCTCACCTAATATCAAAAATTAAGATATTATAATGGTAGTAATTTGGAGAAAATTATATGTTACCATTCTATCATTCAAGTTTCTTGTGAGAAATATTCAGTAGCACTTACAGAATGATATTGAATCAATTTCAAAGAAATATACCGCAAAATTAACTTTCAAATTCAATAACTGATTTTATCATTCCAAAATAGAAGTGGAAACATGATGAGTAATTCAATATGTATAATGAAGTTGATACTGATGAGAAGCATATAATATTGAAAATAGACACTAGATAACACATTCGATTATCATATATGTAAATAATACTGTTTTTAACTGCCCGAGTTTTCGCTTATGTTTATTAGCTTTATCGAGGGTTGTAATACAAAAAGGACATAATTATTTTGTGAAACAAAGTATTTTTGATACATTATTCCATTTCACCCTCCTAGCGATCTTAAACTACTTTGTAATACATATATTGTCATGAAATATAGTCGGGGCATTGGTTGTTTCATTTTTATCTTTTTATTATGTCTACTCATCTTATAACTGAAGAATTCAATCAATTTCTTCGGAAAAACGGGAGATTGAAAATATATTTTTATCTTGTATGTACCTACTGTGTAAAAAATATCAGTAGACGAGAAGATGGTATATACTCAAAAATTCAATACAATTCGAACAGTCCAATCTTCAAACTGAAAGAAATACGTTTAATCATCTCATTAATACCACCTATGAGTAATTTGATAAGTTATACTTTTGTACTGAAAATACGGGTACAAATGAGTCAAATGTGAGTTTTATGCGTCATGTAATTAGTTCAAAATAATCAAAACTTTTATTTTTGGGTATCTGCTGATGTTACAGATGTTGACAACATCTGGTTCGCAGAAAAAATGTAATAGTGACGGTTATTGAAAATTATCTGTACTTGAGAAGCAAATTTTACTTGATCCTGACATAAAAGTGGACGCGTTTTTATCTCAAAGGAAAAAATTGTCTAAAACTTTCTATAGAAAATTAAATTTTTTCATGACGAACTCCTACCACGTAGTAACTAACGGCTACCTCCATCAATTTACTGAAAATGGTCTGCTTTTCTACAGACTTTTTGCAATTATTTGAATCCAGGGTATTGAATTTTTTTGGCTAAAAGAAGCAGCAAATTTGTGGGCTATATTTTTTCCGAAGTACCTCTTGGTTGAAGTTGAAAAAATAATTTTCATTTCAATCTTTAATCTATTTCCGGATCACTCATTTATTTTTGAATCAACAATGGAATTTCAACAAAATATTCAATAGTGAATAAAATGAAGGCATTTCTGTCTATATTTCGATTCTTTATGAATTAAAGGAAATTGTTTGCAGAATAAATATTTTTTCAGATATATAACTCACCTAGAATTTCCTCGTCAATAAATTCAACAACTACTTGAACACTCAACACCGAAGTACAACAAATCAGTTGTTCAATTTTCACAGTACACAAAACCGAAATACAGTCAATGCCTTTCGAATTTATAATTTAAAATCATAATCCTATAAAATTATTTTCTCTGTGCAGCACCATATATTTTCCGTCACCTAATCGTCAGTGAACACTCAACACAAGTTTTTTCAAAATCATATTTGAAAATAGTTGAGAAACGAACTCCGCAGTAGATCAGGATGCGCACTTTCTTCCGGGGCGACTTCGATGATGCTGCAGGCCAGCAACCCGAGAGATATCAGCGGTGGATCAAACGATGAACTTGTGATCAGTCCGGAAAAAATCACGCGGTACGCCTTTCTGAGAAGGATGCTATCCACTGACTTCTCAGCGTGGACTGTGACGGACGAGTGAGTGCTCGACTCACTGTTATGCTTCAAGAACTGCGTGCACCTGTTGAGGTAGAAGGGGAAATAATTGTACCCCTCCAACAGGTACTATTGTTGTATTTTGATATCATTTGCAAGGAATAGTCGGAAATAACATTTTATGTGTCTAGCTGAAGTGAGAGGGTGGCCTGAAAGCTTTCAGGTTTTATTGTACCCTTATGGTAACTAGGTGTTCCTTTGATTGATGAACTAAAAATCATAATATTTCTTTATTAAAAATTAAATCAAATAGAGAAATTTGTTTGATAAGTCTGAATACGGGCATATTGGAAAAAATGTTAAAGTGGAACTTGGAAAACACGTTTATCCCTCTTAATCTCCATCAGTCATTATTTAAACCATGTCGAGAAGATCGGTTCTTCTCAATTACTTGAAATAATCAACTTCAATTATGATTCACTTCGTCTGTTTCTACTCATTCTTTTTCCTTCATCTATTTGTCACTTGGAGACTCTTGAAAAAAAAGACAGAAAATTGTTGGCTGGAAAATGTTATTTCTTTGGGTAGTTCTCTGGTCGTCACAACTTTAACTCTTTCATAATACCGTCGACTCTTCTGTCTCTGATCGTTTTTTATTTGTTTCCAGTTGAGATTCATTTCTCTTAAACTAGAGAATCGATTTTTCATATGAAGGTATCCTTCTGAATGTATCTGGATTTTCATAAATTGCAATATTTCCACTCCTCTAAATAGCACCCAATTGTGAAATCTGTGCAATGTTCCACTCTCTTGTTTGTTTCATATGATGGAATTAGCCGGTACTTGACGATATTCAAATAACACTATATTGTGAGATTGTCACTAAATAGTTCACAAAATCAGCGCACGTGTTTCGATGTAGCTTCCACAAGAGTGTTTATAATTGACTGAATTGTACTTGACTGAATCTCTATATGTCATCACATTCAATAGAATGACTTGAATGAGCAATATCTACCTCATTTCATTTCTTAATTTGCTTTCTGTATTTTTTTTCAAGTGAACGTATATACAAAAACCCAAATATTTGGATTGATCGATTATACGGTTTTGTATTCTACGACAAATCTTCCTCTGAATGTTTCAACTCTTGAGCCTAGAAATAAAAGTAAAATAAGAGAACTCTTGATTTTTCAACTATTCCATTAATGGAACATTTTTGAAGATGATTTAACAGAGAAATGTTGACCTACCGATTCTTAGTATTTTTTTTCAGTTACATGACATATGATGTGAAAGGGAACATTATTACAAATCAGTAGAAACATAATTAATTTTGTGAGTATAGTCAAATGAAATAAAAATTTTGCATCAGTAATTATGAAGTGAGCCAGTTTGAAGGAGTTGGCATGTGAATTTGGATATATACTGATAGAATTACTGTAGCAACTAAACAGTAAATATAAGGTATATTTGGATTAGTCTAAGCATTTGTCTGAAAAAAGAGTTTTTCGATCGGCAGTGGAAATCAAAGAAAAAGAAACCGTGGTCGATAACATAGTTGAGTCATAAATATTACAAGCAGTTAGTTGATCATATCTTTATCTAGTTTTCTTTATATTTTTTCGAAACCTATCATCAAAAATTATAGGTGAGGTGCCAGATTATTGAGGTAAACAGGAATATGTCGAATATAATATAGTATTCATATGAATATAAAATATAATGAAAATATGACGTCAATATATGCACCAAACTTTTTACGAGATGAAATATTTCACCAAAAGAGTTTTCACAACTATTTAATGTTACTAACAACATGCACATACCCACAGTTTCTCTCATATGTTAGCACACTTCAGGATAAGTTATGAAGTGTTCTTCATAAACTGAAGGGAAAAACTTTTCACATATAGTCAGTGGGCATACTTAAAAACTGGCTATGAATCAAATCATCTAATAGAACAATTCATTCAGGTCAGTCGCAACTTCCTACAGTATGGTTACCTCGTTCACAGACAGATGAGGCGATGACAAACATGTTGTTTGTTGTCCGCTTCTGAAGGAATTCGATTTTCAATTACCGGAAATCATCGACTTCATGTTGCAAACCTTGCACTGATGAGTGGCCAAACAGCCTGAAATCAGTCTGCAAGTGTGTTCCAATAAACGAAAATCTATTCCGACAGTTGAATTGCCAGCCAGCTAATGCAGAAATAACTTGAGTGAATCCTGCATTGAGACCTGTCAGTTATAATCCAGCGCCCTTCGTTGGAAAAATATTGAGATTTCATGAAACCTGCGATCCGATCAATGAATTTATTATTCATTTCGTAGACATTTTGGAATCATAAGGTATTTTGGGAAAATTTTAATTTATGTGCTACATTTAGTATCCGCCTAGTATTCAGTAATTGCTGGACAAATATAAATATGATTTGAGAAAGTTTATTAGTTTGAAGATCTGTAGTCATTGATTGGTAATTCAAAATATGTTCAATGATGCAAATGGACACGTTTCTCTAAAATTTTATTCCAGCATTCAAGTTCTGTAAAGAGCTTAATTGCTAGTTTCTTGAGAAATATATGGAAAATATTACTTTCCAATATTATTTTGTTCGATTGATGACCTATTAATTTTGTATAAATTCATATGGAATATAGGATAAAGAAAATACTTTTTTCTTATTTCTACTCAGTTTTTTAATGATTACGACCGCTTTCGGTCGTAACAAACAATAAACTCAGTAGAAATTAGACAGCAGTATTTACTTTATCCTATATACAATATCATTCACTCTAATTGAAGATGAAAAAATAATGTTTTTCTTCATTACAATTTATATGAGAAAAATAAGAATCAACATACCTAGAAAGTTCTTTTTAGGAAGCAAAAAAAGAGATGTATTCCAAGTATACAATATTACATATTCAAATTCGGAATGAAGAAAGTGAAAGAATGTGAATCTAGGAAAAATGTTTTTCAAAGATACAAATTTATTGATTTCATGAGGTTGAATAGAAAATAAAAAATTTCATTGTTACAGTTTTGACATTCATGTCAGGGTTTGCGATTCAACTGAATTGAGATTTGGTTCATTTTTTTACAGGTTTTTTCAATATGATACATGATTAGCTTTAGAATATATACAGATTTTTTGTGATTTCAGAATGAAATACGTCTTTGAGACAAAAGAGATATATGTGAATATATGTTGTGAAGTTTGTGAAAATACTATATTGAATTGAGAAATGTGTGATAATACTTCGTGAAAATATAAAGAACATTGAAAAACATTGAATACTATGAGATTTTATTGGAAAACAAATAATTCAAAATGGAATATCGAAACATATCATCTCCACCTTTGGTTCTGGTAAATGCCAGCCGATAAACAACTACTTTCCCGGCTGTACCTCATGAACAAAGCTCCACACAAGAGTACAAACATCCTAGGTATCAACACATACCGACATACTACCTCACAGGGAATAGTCTTGCAGATGTTTCTCGTTCATCCAGCAGCAGAACCATTTATATTTCATAACAATAATTATTGTTTTACGTAATGAACAACTTTCCTTACGATCACTACTCTATTTTCACATTATATTGGATACTTGTGGCCAAAGTAATGCTATGTGAATTTACACGAAAACTTTTCTATAATGTGATAGACTTCGAATGGGTGTTCTACAGTCTTCATCAATGTTCGATACTAAGTTAGTTCACAAAACGAATTCATCATGAATATATTAATTTATTTTACTCTCTTTTTTAAATTAGCGATATAACACCTTTGTGCCCTTTCTTTGATATATGGCTTTGTTTCCAGCACATATTTTATTATTTCCTCTTTCTCTTACTTGATCATTCCAGTATCTAAAATAATCTTTTCTAGCGTATCAATTGGTTGCAATTGTCTTCATTACTCAGTTTATTTTTTTCATATTATGGCGATTGTTCGGGAATTCTCTCATATTGTCATTTAGTAGTTACGATACTATCAAGTAATTTCCTTTTTTTCTTTTCGTTTCTCTTTTCTTGACATACACTTCGGAAACAGATTTGTTTTCTGAATAATAAGTTGAAGAATAACACCGCAAGAAAATCTCTAAATTTCAATAATCAACAATTCAAAGACCTCTATCAATAAAATATACCAATCATAAACAATAAATAAACGAATCAGATATAAATATTCCATATGCAGTCGGATTGGCTTATTAAGTTACTAATGAATAGAAAAGGAATTTTGTGATGGATGGATTGCAGATATACCCAAGCGAATTGAATTCTGTGACAGAAATATGTTTTTTGCTAACGGTTATTGACAAAGGAACGAAAAGACTTGTAGGTGAAAAGACTACGTGCTTGGAGAAAGATGAATATACACGTTCTTCATGCGAGAGACTGGTGGTACATGTGAAAAGAGGTTGTCTTCGGGGAGGAAGGAAGTTTTCTTGTCTGTGAGGGATTCGAATTACTGGTACATGTAGACTACCCTGTCATGGTCGAACGTAATATATATTGAAGGAACGCTTGCAGCAGCCGGGAATGTTATGGCAAGATATACCAAGAATTTGAAGCTGAACTTCAGCTCACCAAAATCGACCAAAAAAGCATTAACTGGGAGGGGATAAGACCTTTCGAATTTTGAGGTGAACTGTAACGTCTTTCGGGAGAACTCAAACATCTGCCAGTCATCTAAATGGAACCAACTTCTAGAGAGAATGAAAATAAAGGCGGAGGTAGGTAGCACTTGTGCTTGCCAGACGTACTCACGAACTGAAAGCAAACATGATGTATTGGTTCTACACCATAGGGTTCATATATATTTCTAATCGAATTTATTTTTTCTGATTAATTCGGCCGTTACTTGATGAAGATCCATAGTAATTTAAAAAACTCACGATTTGATCTCCACAAAATTTATTTGAAAAATATATCACATGTTTCGCTAACAGAGGAACTTCATCAAGTAATTTGAATGATATCACTTGATTAAGCTACTTTACTAGCG